CGCGTTTGCTTGCCCTGTCTCAAGTGTCCCGCGGGGCAAATCAGCCGGGCGAGGGGCTGGGGTGGGGGGCGCGACGGGATGGGGCAACGGGGACGGGACCGCTCTCGGGGGGACGAGATGGAGCACGCTGCGGGCAGAGCCCCGACAGAGCTCCTCCGCTGGCTCCTTTGCGGGGCGTCCCGCGTGCCGTCAGCAGCACGCTTTGGGGCTGCGGGCAAAGCAACCCAGCCCGGTGCGGTGCCGAGACCGGAGCTGAGCTCCGCATCTCGGACCAGGCTTAGCTGTATGGGTAAAAAAACAACGGGCTGCTGCAAGCTGGTCCTGGCAAGACACCCGGGTAGGACCGCGACATGACCCCCATGGTCCTGTCTTGCATTAAGCTCTCCTGCTCGCCCCACCGGGGCGACGGCCCGTGTGCTGCCCCCTTCCCCTGCCGACAGCCATCAGCTCCTTCCCACCGGCGTGGAAACGCTTCTGCATCATGCAACCACGTTGCCTCCTTTCGCGGCAACCTGCAACGCTCTCGGCGCTACCCGGCGGGGGCGGCGGGCCCGGCGCCCGAGACCGGGCTGGCTGGAGGTCTGCGGAGATGGGGAACAGCGTGATTACCCTTCTCTGTAGCCTTTGGGGTCTCCCTTGGGATTCCCAGGAGCGGAGGAGGCCTAAGAGAGTCATGAATGTGGGTCAAATCCTGCCGCTCCCAAAAAGGGGCTGGAGGAAGCAAGCGCCATGAAACCTCAGTTATCCGTGTTATCTGTGCGCTGATGAACGCTCCCCTTCAGAAACGCCAGCTGGTGATCTCCGTTTTTTTCCCGCTACAGCTCCTTGGCTTTTCATGTCAAAGGCACGTCTTCCCCGAGACGCTAACTGGGATGGAGGGAGCCTTGCTGCGGGCAGGAGCCCTTCCTCCGCACTGCTGGGCAGGGCAAAGCAAGCGAGAGCATCGCAGCCCTTCGTGCCAGCGGTTTGAGTCGCAGGGGAAATTCCCTTTCACTTTTTGCAGAGCTGGCTTTGTTGCAAATAAGAGCTGGCAGTGAGGCCGAGCGGGACCCGTTTGCCCAGCTCTCGCGCACGAGAAACGCAGAGTCGTTTTTTGCTGAGAGCACGATCTTATGAAGCGCTTCCTTCTTCACCACCAAACGGTGCTACCGCGAAAATCAGCGCTTTTTATAGCTCGGACACAACTACGATGTTATACGGTGGCTAACTGCGCTCAGCTGCACGCACGAGCCTGCGTTATTCATTGCCGCTTGTGATAAAGCCGTTCAGCTTCTGCTCGTGATTTCTGTTGGGCGCTGGAAGCACATAGGGAAAACCACCGCATCGTCATTAAAGAAGTGCTGGAAGTCTGCAATTGCACTGATTTCGGTGAAAGCCGAAGCGACTTTGCAGCCCCGATCTCAGCACCGGGACAGGACCCAGCTCCTAACGTCAGTACTCCGGGGTGGGCACCCTCTTCCCTTTGCCGTGCTGCCCAGCCGACTGTGCGAAGTGATACCATCGCTCTGGGAAGAGATCCTGAAAAACGGGGGACCGGCCCGGGGAGCCGCCGGGGAGCCCGAAAGCCTGCCCGGAGCAGGACATGCTTAGTGGGACAGGGAAGATGATAGTGCTGTCGAGGAGAAGAGCGTTTACACGTGCGGGATGTGCGCCGCTAAACAGGCAGCGAGGGGCCACAGGCTGAACGCAGACGCAAAGCCGCTGGTTCTAGCCTTGCTGTCTCCTCAGGCATCAAGCACATGTATATATTTGCAAAAGAAGGAATCATTTTCAATTTAAAAAATTCAGGTAGTCGTTTAAAACGTGAACGTTGGTGTTCGATTCCCCCCAGAGCACCTTCGCTCTTTGGCCCTCCTTCCAAACCTGTTTTCCTGGGGCTTCAAAAGCTTCAGGTCTCACCCGCTTTGGAGAAGCAGGTGATCGCGCGCCAGCACGTTTGCTCCTTGCGCTGGGCCGGGGGCCTTTCGGGATGGGGAGCGCCCGGGGGTGTTAAAGGTCCCTTCCCCAGCGGGAGGAGACCCCCGCTGCGGTGTGGGGGCGGCCACCGCCAGACCCCAGCGTATCGCCTGCGAGGCTTTTGCGCTCTGCTGCCAAGCCATCCCTCGTGGAAACGCCTCTGTGGGCGAGACGGGAGGAGATTCACCGAGCTCCTTCCCACCCGGATGCTGCTGCGAGAAGGCACCAAGGTCTGTACAAAAGTCTCCCTAAAAAGGGCTGGAAGCCCCGTCCTGGGGGCCTGGAGACGAAGCAGGCAGGACCCTGTGCACACCTTCCTTTCCCGGCCCCTGATGAAGCCAAAGGAGTGAAAATGTCATAGCGAGCGGTCAGGACTGGTTTTGAGGAGCAATCTGGGTGTTTTCAGAGGGAGGAAGCCCAGCGGGACGCCGCTCTGCGAGGCGCCTGGCGAAGGGTGTCCGGGCTGCTCGACGCTGGAGCTGACACTGCGCTACGGGCCAGGAAGGGGGTATTTTGGGCAAGCCCACGGCAGCTAGCGAAGCGTGAGCCCTCCTAGCATGGCCACAGCGTGGAGACGAAGGCCAGCTGGAGCCACCTTGGGGCCGGGACCGCTCGCGCCACCACTGCCACTTCACCCGAGCTCTCCCTCCTGGCTGGGGGAAGGCATCCACCACGCTTCCTCCCGGGACTTAATTCTCCTCCATGTTAAAAAGGTATACTTTATTTGTAGTTTGAATTTATGTACCTTCCACTTCCAGGCAATGATCTCATTATGCCTTTTTGGGCTAATTAAAGAGCTGACTGGTATCAGCGTAAACGCTCCTGTTCTGCTCGGATGGCCCAAAGGAATAAGGACATGTCGCAAAGCCCATCGGATAAAAGTTGCTCTGCTGACCCCTGCGTACAGCCAGAGAAAGAAAGAGCTTTTTTTCTATAAACCCGGCGAGAAGGCGCATCCCTCCCCACAAGTCGTCTCTGGTGGCTGCAGGACGCGCTCCGTGCAGATGGCCACCGCGGTTTGCTGGGCTGCAGCGGCTCTCCATTTGTGCACTTTTTCATACAGTCTCTTTCTCATTCTTGAAGGTCTACACGACTTTAACTAAAATATTTAAGGCAAGAAGCTTATGTCTCTAATTACTGAGCATTTCTCGTCCTGGTCTTTTGATTCTCTAGATACCTGAAGGACGTCATGTGGAAACGAGACAAGAAAAACGCTGCTTGTGAGAGGGACGAGCTCGACATCACGAAGGATGGATGTCAGCTTGTTGAACAGATCCTCTTAACTGAAAAAGGAGGTAACAGCCCCAGGGACCGCAGCATGGGGGACGGCTCGGTGGCCTCCGTCGTCTTCGGTTCCCAGTTCAAAACCCCAGAAACGAGTGGGGAGCCGGGCCAGCGCCCAGTCCATTAGAGGACACGGAGGGAAGACCACAGGGGTCCAGCTCTTCCCTCTCATGAAGCAGAATTTCTCCAGGCTGGGCTTTTCAGGTGATTCCCATGACAAGGAACCTATCAACTTTTGGGCAAAACTGTCCCATCCACCATTGAACTATCAGCAAGAACTGTTTCGATCCCAGCCAAATTTGCCCTGCTCCTTGTTTTCCACTCCCCAGGGCAACCGTTCGGAGCCGTTCAGCCTCCTGCACTCCCACTGTCTGGGAAATGTCACGGTCTGAGCCCGTTACTCATTTGCAGCGTGCCCTTTCTTAATGCCATGCCGTGCACTCTTCCTCCCCACTCGCTATCGAGTGAATTCCTCTCTCTTGATTACACCCTCCAAAGACCCATAAAAATCAATGCCTGCTCCAGCCTGAACCCGGCACTGGGCTCATCAAGAGGCCGAGCACGCTGCTCCCAGGAGATGGTTCTCCTCGTTACGGGACAGGATGCTGCAGCAACGCGCTTGACTTCTGGATAAATAACCAATTTCACTCGTGCAGCAAGAATCTCTGAGAGCTGCTTATTGCTAAGATCCCCAGAGCCTTCTTCTCCAGGCTGAACAGGCCCAGCTCCCTCAGCCTTTCCTCATAAGAGGGATGCTCCAGTCCCCTCATCATCTTTGTAGCCCTCCGCTGGACACGCTCCAGGAGCTCCATGTCTCCCTTGTACTGGGGAGCCCACAACTGGACCCGGCACTCCAGGTGAGGCCTCACCAGGGCTGAGGAGAGGGGCAGGATCACCTCCCTCCACCTGCTGGCAACACTCTGCCTGATGCAGCCCAGGATCCCCTTGGCCTTCTTGGCCACAAGGGCACACTGCTGGCTCATGGTCAGCTTGCTGTCCACCAGCACTCCCAGGTCCTTCTCTGCAGAGCTGCTTTCCAGCAGGTCAACCCCCAGCCTGTCCTGGTGCAGGGGGTTCTTCCTCCCTAGGGGCAGGACCCCGCACTTGCGTTTGCTGAACTTCAGGAGGTTCCTCTCTCTCCAGCCCGTCCAGGTCCCTCTGAATGGCAGCACAGCCCTCTGGGGTATCAGCCACTCCTCCAGTTTTGTGTCAGCCTCGAACTTGCTGAGGGTGCACCTGGTCCCGTCACCCAGCTCACTAACGAAGAGGTTAAACATTATCAGCTCCAGTACTGACCCCCGAGGAGCATCGCTAGCGACCGGCCTCCAGCTGGACTTCGTGCCGCTGATCACCGCCCTGCGAGGCCGGCAGCTCAGGCAGCTCGCAGGGTTCAGGACTCCCTTCGTCTCTCCGAAAGGAGGTCGCGTGTTGGGGGACGCACAAGCTGGGTGCGAGCGCACGACACGGCCAGGGCTGCGTCGAGTTGGCGCTGCCAGGTGCCAGGCCGCCTGAACTGCCCTCACCTAATGTGCAGCATCAATGGAAGAATTACAGAAAGAGGCCAAGAAAAAGAGGTGTTTTAAACGTCAGCTGTTTCAGCTGTGTGTTTTAAAAGACCGCTCTTAAGTATTTAAAAGCGGTAGCTCACACTTCTCTTTTTAAACTGAAACTTCTTGCAAACACTCTGAGGGTGCACTCTGAAGCATCACTGCCTCACCCACACAAATGACAGGAGACTGAGTGCCCCATTTAGCAGCTTTTCTTGGGCCCTTGTATTTTATGGCAGGAAGAACAGGAAATTTGGAAGGAGGAGGCAGCATTTCCTAGCTGGCAGGCTCCTGCAAGAGGGTGCATCTTCACGAGGCCAACCCATGCCTGCGCCCCGACCCTCTTCCAGCAGGGAGGCAGCCCAAATACCTTCTAACTCAACCATGTGCCATCTTCTCCCCTTGTAACTTAAGGCGAAAGAAGAAGGCCCAGCACCTCTCAGAATCAGTCCCCAGTAATGTTATCTTCTCCTCACATAGTTGGAGCCTTCCGCGTGGCTTTTTCTGGTGCTCACCTTTTAAATATTCATATGGTTTTGCTTGCTATAATTCCATGATGAGATTTTTATCTTAATCTGCTTCAGCTGAGAGAAGTGTTTCATTAATGTCTCAAATACCTTATGATCACAAGCATTATCCAAGAAAAATGGACTTGTCACCTGTAAAAATACAACATAATCTACCCTAGTTTTCTGCTTAAGTGAACGGGGACATGAGGACTAAAAAGACTCACTGGAAGGGATGTTATAGCTACTGATCTTCCCTATTTACATCCTATTCACCTGCGCAGGGGCACAGGAGCCTTGGGGGCTTTGCTGCTACTGCTGGGCCTGTGCCCCTTGGAAGAAGGGCCTGGACCAGCCCTCCATCGTGCCCTACTCTTCCAATCATGGCAAGGACTGCTTTCAAGGGCTCCTGGCCTGTTTTCCCTTCCTCCAGCAGCATGTTCAGAGTGACAGAAACTAAACTTACGTGCAGAGCACTCAACAGCTGACCTGAGGTTGGGGAGCAGACGGGCAGCAGAGCTTGCCCTGCCATCCTCAGCAGCGTCCTGCAGGTAAAGCATCCCACCTTCTCAGGGGCTTTGCAACTTCAGCATTTCTGTGCTCAGCCGATCCCTGCGGTCGTTTTGCAACACTTTCGTTTGCCCATCTGGTTGTGCCTGAGGCAACGGAAACGGTTAAACACAGTCTGAAGCACAGCTGTGAACACAGGGCTGGAAGGAACTTCCTGGCATATCGCATCCTGCTCCCTGCGACCGCAGGCACTGCGCCCTCAAATCCCTCCAGTGCCCTCTCAAAAATTCTCACTTCTCCCATCCAAGAGAATGAAGGGAAATGGCTGGAAATCTATTTTTCAACCTAAACATAGGCAAGTTTAGACCTGTCCGTCAGCTTCAGTGAGCAAAAGCATCTGGACTGCATGCTGGTCCTGCTGCTTATAAACGAGGGGGAGGAGGGACAGGCTGCCTAGGTAGGCAAGGAATTTAAAGCTCTGCTTTGCCCCCACATACTCCAGCAAGCTGAACTCCAGCTCTGCAAGGAGAGCAGCACCGTAACAACAGATAAATGCAGGGGCAACCTCGTGTCTTAGCCGAACCCTGAAGTTAGAGCATGCACCCCTACGGAGGCAGCGACGCCTCCGCTCCCAAGGAAAGGGGAAGCCTACCTAAACACTCCTGCAGGAAACAAAGAGCCAGGGCCTTCATCCCCCACCCTGTGGCCTTGAAGGAAAATTGCAACGAGGCACCAGAGCCCAGGGACCAGCTTTTCCAAGAGCTTTCTACAGTGCTATGGGCAAGCCCGATGGTTTCTCCCATCCCTTCCCACGTCCTCGGCTCTGTTCCACACATATCCTTGCGTCTTCTTTCTGCATGTGTTATCCACTACTAATCACTCATCTCTACTTTCAGTGTCCCCATTAACAGAAAGAGACTCAGCTTATATTAAAGAGCCTCCCTGTACTGAAAACATATTCTTGGTAACAAACGCTCTCAGAGCACAGGCTGCACTGATTAACATCTCTCAAGGTCTCACTGTGATGTATTTCTGGAGCCCTCAGATCCTCTTGATAATTCTCTCATTTTCCACTATTTCTCTAGAAAAGGTCACAGTTCACACAGAAGGCAATTTCCTCACGTCACACAGGCTCCTGCAGCAGGTGCTGACGGATTCAGCTTGGGAGCTGAAAGGCTGAGAGAGTTAAGACAGACACCACCTCATCCAGCTTCTTGGATAATAAGGCAAACTTCACCTACAGCCTTTATTAAACAGAAGAGTTTCTCTCAAACAGAAATCACACTTCTATTAAACTCAGCATAAGAACAGACACTAGTGTTAGTGGACCCCCTAAACAAACCCAGGGGCGTGGAGCTCTTGACATACAGAGGAAGGCTGTGTGTTAAGGGATAAGCACCCCATCTTTGCCTTTAGCCACAATTGACCACAGGAGACAACAATCTGTTTTCTCACAGATGCCTCAAAAAGCCTTTCAGGACTGCAACTGAGCTGCTAGAGCAGAGGAGTTACAGCCACAACCACAAACAGCCTTGGCTCCTGGTTAACATGGAGAGATTTACTTCTGGCATAGACTGAAGGTGACCAATAAAGAAACACAAAAAGAAGAAAAAGATTTTTATAATTACGAGAAGAAACAGGAACAAAGGGTTTCCCACCTCCTTCTCAGAAGGGTCATCTGCTTTTTGTCTTGTGGAGATTATGGAGGTCTGGTGAATTTAGTGGCACTGAAAATGCCAAGCAAATGAAACCCAGTGGAGACTGAGGTGATTGCTGTTCAGTTTCTTGCTCTCCTGACACCTATCCATATTAAGTGGAGATTTGTTCTCTGAGCAACACAGCTTCCCAGTGCCTTAATCAAACAGCAAGAACTACAGCAGCTTCCAGGCCATTAAGGGAGGCTTCCAGCAAAACCAGAGAAGACAGAAGTGGGCACTTCCGATATTAAGAACAAAAACCAAAAAGTGACATCAAGTCCTTCCAGGTCACCTTCCTACAGCATCAGAGAGCAGTGAGAGATTAACAGCCTGGCCATCTTTGGGAGACGCAAGGCCGAGCAGCACTTCTGCGCCCAGGTACCGGCTGGCCCTCGTCATCGCATTCACATCACGGATGTGTGCTGTGCAACAAACAAGTGCGGTGGGATGCCAGCATCCTCCAGCGCTGGCAGACTTCCAGGCGCGAATACGTGGGAGTTCAAGAGTTTGGTTACTTTATTCTGTTTTTAATTAAAGGCTCTGTGTAAACCTCAGTTAAATGTCAACTGCGTTCTGCTGCAATACTGAGGGAACGTTTTCCCACAGCCAAACTACATCATACAAAGACTTCTGGCTTTAAATAAGAGCAGATGACAATGCCTCACAGGTCTCTGAGCAGGATGCACAGCGTCAGGAGGTTGGGCCCTCCTTGCACCCAGCTGGAACAAAACACCCTCCTCACAAACAGTCCCAGGGGATCAGCAGAGCTGTATAAAAAGGCAACCTCTCGCCTTTGCGCATAGCCCTCCCCACGCATCTGTCCAGTGCTGCTGGCACCTCCAGCCATTGCACAGTTTATACACTCCTGGCAAAATCCCATGAAGAGACATTGAGGAGGGTTCAAGTGAGGCTTGGGGACAGAGCCGTCACGCAGCCCTCCGCACAGTTTGGGTCTGCCCTGCTCCTTCACCACTGCCGACACCACCTACGTGTGGGGCTCAATATATCTTCTGTCGGCTGGGCAGGATGGCCTCCTTGATGAAAGAGAAGATGAGCAGGATACCAGA